TTTACTGCTATCAATTTCTCGTGGATTTCATTGGTGTCCGCAGTTCGGGTTGGAGCGAATCCAGTTCTGAGCATTACAGTACGAGTTCTCGCATTCCGGTATTCAATACTATTCTGATTACCACAATTATGCATGACTGTCACCGAGTGCAGAATGCAGAATACTGCATCACAAATGAACGTCTTTACTGCTCCAAGCTAATTTAAGACTGTTCAGCTATCGACTCTTGTTATGATTAAGGCTATTGTCTCTGTCCTATTATGATATAAAGTTCGATTATCGCGCACCTTGTTCGGGAAGACCCCTTAGAGTAGTTCAATAAAAAACGTAATGGTATAATTTTGGTGTTAACTGGACGTTTCTCTAACCGATCCCTTTAGATTTCGATACTCGATGCCGTATACGATTTTCACTCCATTACGGAAACAGTGATCGATGCGACCGTTGAAATCCATAGATAACTTGCACCAATATGGTAGCAGCTCATTCAATATTTTTATAAATTCCTAACACATTCTCACGAATATCAATGAGGATTGCGGTGTAATACCAGCTTGTCCAGGTGTATACAACAAATTGCTCAGTATGGTCATGATTGTAGTTTGAAACATAGGTATGGGGAAGAATAAAAGTGTTTTACTGATTGCAATAATATGTATTTCGGTGGGAGGTGTTCGGTTTGTGACACGGAATATGAAATAGTCGAGTCACCTTAAGTCAGAAAACTTGATTTGACTTGACAGTTTCATGAAACAGCAAAACTCTCGTAGTATACTTACGTCATTCAAGCCTAACGTCGGTGAGGTCAGTACTTCCATCAAAGGTGGCAGCAGTTTCTCTGCGATCGTTGATGGATCTACACCAAACTTTCTCTCCGACAATAAATAACGATCGATCGCTAAAGAATGAAAATGGGGAAAATATAAAACTATCAAAACAGAACAATAATAAACTCAATAAACAATGAGAACTGTGGAATCACGAGTCTTATTCGTTTTTGCGTTCCAGTAAATAAACATCTGGTCTCACCATAACATACTAAAATTTTATTCAATAACCTGGACAAGCGATGATAACTTTCCAGTTACAATATAAAGTTGGATCGTCACAAATTTATTTCTACTAGAATACTTTATTCGTAGTGAGCAGTACGCATGAACTTCTTGAATCCGAATGAAAAGAGTCACAGACGTTTTGATTGTGAATGACTAAGCGAAACCCTAACTACCAGTCCTAATACTTTTGGTTTGATTTCAGCCAATGTGACTACTTTTGAGAGAACTAAGCTGGCTTATTCCTGGGATCAATATAAATTAAATAGCGAAAATAAGTATTTCAGTTCATTCATCGCTTCATTGGCATACACCAACGGAGATTTATTTGTATCCCCTCGGTTACCACTTGAGAAAATTAGCAAGACATTTTTTGGGCTGTTTTCATAAATTTTCATAGTAATACTACACAAAGGAAATATTCAAATGAATATTGAATACCACATTTTATTGTGCTCAAATCAGAAACCACTTGACACATTAATTCTATCAATCGCAGAGACGAATCCTGCAAACTGTAAGGGGCCCCATGGAAACCTTGAGGGCGAAAAGGAGAAAATACTCATAATGGTTCTCAATGTTAGTGCACTTGATAGCAATTACAAAAGGGTTGTCCTTTAAAAGTACAACACTTCCCTCGTCCATCCACATATATATATATATATATATATATATACATATTTAGAGAGAGAGAGATGAAGTCCGAAGGATCGCTTACTTAGATCAGACGTAGGTGGACTCACCGAGTATGCAGCTGAGCAGCAAAGGATCAGTTGTACGGATGTTGGATAAGAATGGGATTACGTCCTCGTAAACAGTTGCCGAACTGAAATAACTCAACAGGTTTTCTAGACATTCCAGAGTGCACAATTTCAGCTTTATTTCCGTTTTGGAATTTCAAAAGAAAAAAGGTATAACGTCATGAAAAACAGTTCACTTCTTGGATAACATGGTAGTTTGATAAAACTCTGTGAAACGTTTTGAAACTGTTCTGAAGTGAAAACCAACCCCAGTCAGCCTCAGACGAGTTATTCTGAGTGGTTGTACTTACTCGCAATATATAAAATCAAAAATTACACAGAAAAGGTGATGCCATTTGATTGGACTACATTTGCAGAAGATTGACTATGCTGCCATTCATTAGAGTGAACAGTGACGCATAATCAAAGTAGTTGGGTTGACGCCATTACGCAGGGTCTCACTTAAATGTGGATTGTGTGCAAAGACCGTGCATCATTTTGTCAAGGAGCAACCCAAAGTTCCGTTGATGAATAAAATCATCCATATTATACAATAAAACATCAAACTTTAAATTTTGAAATATGTCCCTACTTTCATTTATAATACAACTGCAGGCGAACCATTGTTCTGAATAAATCATAATTATGCCGTTACAGTTTATATGGGGAAAAACCTAGGGGTTGGGAGGAGAACAATCAAATGTGAGAAATCGTTCACGTTGTATATATGCGTGGGTATATGCGAGTCTATATGGTTTGCAAAATATCCATAAAGCTCAGGTTCCCCTCCGCTCCATCCTATCGATGGCAAATACTCAATACCGCGCTGTCGCTCAAGGGTTGGTCGAAATCGTTGAACCTGAAAGGAAACGGTTATAGCTATACCATGCTAAGGGTAACTTCCAATTAACAATTAAACATCTTACTGCTAACGAAATTAATTTGGGGATAATCACAGAAGCACTACGCGGACTTTTATTTTGGTGTACATATAATGTTCATTTTCTTTTCAACGGATTAGTCTACCGACAAAAGGAGGGATTAGCAATGAGATAACTACAAGGACTTCTTTTGGCGGATATTTTCATG